CTAGGACTCTTTAGGGAGCACCAAGCCTGGTCGGCCTTCTTAGGAGAGCTGGAGGTTTCTACCTGCTGACCTCTCAGTATGTAGCCAATGCACCACTTGGGCTCCAAGAGGGAACAAAGGCCCCACATAAAACTTCCCAAGCTAGCTGACACCCTAGAAACTACTCTCAAATGACAGCAAACACCGTTAAAAGAAGAAGAAGGTTAGTTATATTAATGGAGTGACTATCTGGCCTAGTGATCTACTTCCTAAAATCAGTAAATGAAATCTCTATGGTTCACAACAGAACACTGTCCGGATCCAAATGCTCATGGGGATGGCACAGAACCAGGCAGGCATTGTGCCTGAGTGGGGGCTGCCTCAAAGGCAGCTACCACCACCCGCTGGCTTCTACTCTAAGCAAGCCCTCACATAAACTCAGGAACCCATACAGCATCTTCCCAGCAGTGTTCTTTAAAAACAAACACAAGATAAAAGGATTATTTTATAATTGTACTGGAAGCACAAAAAGGGTGAGTAACTTTTCCAAAGCCACGGAGCTCTGAGAGGAGCTGACCTCACAGCTGGCCATTAGGTATCAGGCTCCCAGGCAACCCTTCCTACTGATGAGACCATACTGGTGAACTTCTCCTCTGAACTCCTCAAGCTACCTCCAGTGATAGCTTGATAAAGGAGAATTTGTCAGAAGCCCAGAGATGGAAGGTTATTTGCGGAATAAGACTATGAGAAAGAGGTTCCTAAGGGGAACTATTTCATCATCACCTACGCCCCTTCTTCCGCTCCCAGCTGACTCTTCTAAGGTGGTGAATGCATAGCATGGTGCCAAGAACATACAATGTTCTCAGTGATCAGAGCCCAGCTCCGTGCCGCAGCAAGAAAGACTAAAAAGGCACAGGGTCGGTAATAAAGCCCTCGGGGCCCAGGAATGGGTGCGGGCAGTTGAGCGGGATTTTGTTCTGATGACTAGGTTGTACATCAGTTCTGATGAAGCTGAATACCTCAGTTTGGATCAACGACTGAGGCTGGTCCTGGCACAGAATGCTGATAAGATTTTGCGAGAGGCCTAGATCCACCATGAAGCCCAGTCTCCATCACTGCAGGGTACATGCACAATTCACTAATTGGTGTGTCCTACAGTTGAACACCGCCCAACTTTTTTCCTATTATGAGGCCTAACACCAGTTTGAAGGTTAATAGGCCTTAGCCTGTTATATGGCAGTGGCTTGAACAATAAATCATAGCATCGAACATATGAGAATTACACGCTATAACACTGTATGTTCTAGGACAGATTACTAATGAAAAGACACACACACACACACACACACACACACACACACACACACACACAGTCCTAAGGGTGGTTTGCTGTAACTCTAAGGAGTCATAAGTTGAAGACTACCTGTACGTGTGCGCTATCCTATACAACCCAGTCCACCCTACACGCCTCTCAATTTGCCTTTACCCGAATCTTCCTCACTTTCTTTCCCTGGGGGAGGGATGAGGTCTCTCCAAAGAAGGACATGAGGTCACTAGTAATATCAGAATTTCGTTTGGATACAAATGGTTCCTATGTCTCTGCTAACCAAAAGGTTGGCAATTGAACCCATCCAGAGAAACCTCCAAAGAAAAGATCGGCAATCTGCTTATGCAAAACTCAGCAACCGAAAGCCCTACAGAGCACCCCATGGAGCACCCCACCACTCTGACATCCAGGGGGCTGCCAGGAGTAGGAAGAGACTCGCCAGCAATGGATTTGGATCTTGAACTTTTCCTTCCAGATCCATCATTCTCTCCCACTTACTCAGCCGCAGCCTAAAAGATGGAGACAGAGCTGAAGGGAGAAGGGAGAATCATCCACCAGCACATCGAGGGGTATGCCAACGTTTAGACTCTTCAGAGAGTGTGAAATTAGCTCGGCTTGTCAATCAGGAAGCACAGTTGGATTCGGACTAAATGCTATCAAATGGAAAGGGGAAGGCAACGTTTGCAAACTAAATGGATTAAGGAAACTTTCCCGGAGGTCAGGCAGGAGAGGCGCTTCTAATTGACTTCTCCCTGGAGCAAAGGTTGACCCAGGCAGGGCCTCAGGCCTTATTCCTCTGGAGAAGGAAACCAGGAAGACTGGCGCTGGACTCACACGTCAGAAGCACACTGAATACATGTTACAAAATCAATTGGCCAGCAGCCTGCTAATACGGAAGACCACACACCCAACTCTCAATGCCTTGAATTCCCAAGAGGTATTTTAACTACCATTTGTTCTGGGGTTCTTGGGATAGCTGTGGGGCGGTTAAGGTGAAGCATGAAAAAATGGGAGAAGGCTGGACAATCCTGAGGAAACAGAATTAGTGGTCTAGGAGAAAGACCGCCAAAACCCCCAACCAAATTCACTACCGCTGAGTGAACTCGGACTCGTCGTTAGCCTACAGGGCAGAGTCGAACTTCCTCGTCGAGTTCCCAAGGTTGTAAGTCTTTACGAAAGTAGACTTGCCCCCCTTTTGTGTAGCGGCCAGGTGCTTAAGAACTGTATCAGCAGAGCTCCTTGAGCAGTGGCCAGTGGGACTGAAACCCACAGAATCCAGGGCAGGAGCCTTTTCTAATTCTGGCTTGGCTTCCAACCCTCAAAGAAGCCCCCACTTGGCCACCTTAGGCACAGAATGGAGAGAGGCACCCGAGTCCTGTAAGGAAAACCGGGCAAGAACATTTGATTCAGCACAGTGCTCTCTGAATGATCACCAATGGAGACCTTTGCCTTCCTGCGTGGTATCATTAGGGACCTATCACTACAATCGGTCAAAGGGCAACAAGAGTCAAGCAAAAGAAATGGCAACTGCAAGCCTGCCCTGGGTGCACATCCTCTGGCTCAGTATGACCAGGCCTCTCAGGGGCTGTCTACTACCCAGAGGGGAGAGGAAACAGGTATTGACCTTCTGTTTGGTCCTTCCTCTCTATATGGGACGTAGATAGACACTAGGCAGGTATGTAGAGAGGTAGAAGGATCCAGAGAGACAGATAGACAGATGGAGTGTGGGTGAAGGAGAGATAGGGTAAGGCCTAATGTCACTCTCCTAAGGGTCAAATGCAGATCACTTAAACTCACCAAAAATTCCATTGTTTTACGGGCTGACTTCGAACATTCACCCAATTCTCAGTGCATTTTATTCACAAGAGGAATTTAAAGAATGAGCGTCTCGAATTAAAAGGAATTTTAAGAACTGGGTGTATGGAACGGTCAGCCCCTAGAGCAAGGGTCCGCAAACTACGGCCCGCGGGCCACATGCGGCCCACCGAGGACATTTATCCGGCTCATAAACATATTTTTACAAACAAATGAAGCACATTTATCCGGCCCGCTGGGTGTTTTTGCTGCCGCTGCCTGTCCTGATTAGCAGCCGACTTGTCCAGTGTGCACAGGAATATGTTCATAGTATTTTTTTAAACTATAGTCCGGCCCTCGAATGGGCCGAGAGACAGTGAACGGGCCCCCTGTTTAAAACGTTTGAGAACCCTGCCCTAGGGGGTTATTTCCCAGAAATGAGCCACTGATCACACTTCTCCCAGACCCACATAGGGTAGTCGTGAGCAGGAAACACCTGAAGAGCAACTGCTTCTGGTTATTTTAATGAGTTCCTTTAACTCAGGACTTTTCAGGATAGCCCGAGGCAGTCTCATTGAAAAAAAAAAAAAAAGGGTTCCATGAAAAACGAAGCCTAGATACAAAGAAAAAATAAAGATAAAAGTTAAACGTAGAGGCCCAATCTGCTACTGCAATATTTAACATATAAATATATGTACATAGATCTATTTCCCTATCATTATATATAAATATATTTACTTATGTACAAGCCTATGTTGGGCCTCTACTCAAGTACTCCCTCAATGCAAGAACACTTTGTTCTAATACCCTGGCATTCTGAGATGCTCAGCTGCCCGACACGATCTCTGAAGACAAATG